TGGGGGAAGTCAACGGGGAGGCGCATTTTGAGCCCACCATCTGTTCGTAAAAATGGGCGAATCGAACCAGATATTGTTGCTTCTTCTGTTTTATTTTATGGTTAGTAGTACAAAAAGATGGTTTCTTTTTTTAGCCTTTTGTACTACTACTGAGGTGAGGAGTACACTCAAGTAAGTACACAACCCGAATCAAACAGTCTTTTTTATCAAGATGATTTTCAACGGTGGTTGGTTAAAGCCTTCAGTTTCCTCTGCTTTAAATTGGGAAAATTCCTCTTCGCATGAGCACGCCGGCTGCTGCATAACTCCAGTGTGGGGTTTGTGCCATTTAATGCCTTTTTAGACTAGACGACAAGAAAAAGGATAAACAATTTGGTTTCATCTATCTGCTCAGGTGAGAATTAATTTATTATTATTATTATTATTTTTTTCTCTTACAAGTCATATATTTCATTCTGCAATTGCTTATTTTGATTGTTGCATGCTTTGCTTAGAGAAAAGAGAAAAAAATGGGCACAGATGAGAGGGAAGAAGTGATGGAAATAGAGAGGGATGATGAGGTGGAAAATGGGAAGGAGATTCCTGGATGGAAAGAGCAGATAACTATGAGAGGCATTGTTGCTAGCTTACTGATTGGGATTATTTACAGCATCATAGTAATGAAGCTGAATCTCACAACTGGGCTTGTCCCAAACCTCAATGTCTCGGCGGCTCTTGTTGCTTTTGTGTTGATAAGGACATGGACTGAGCTTCTTCAAAGGGCCAAATTCGTCACAGCCCCGTTCACCAGACAAGAGAATACGGTCATTCAGACATGTGCTGTTGCTTGCTATAGCATAGCTGTGGGAGGTTAGGACCAATGATAGTAATAATATCCATCGAACACTATTGCGTATTTGGGTTTATTCCATTCGACAAAATATTCATTGTCCGGTTCGATTTTCTTGATTTCATGATCAGGTGGGTTTGGGTCTTATCTGTTGGGATTGAACAAGAAGACATATGAGTTGGCAGGGGTTGATACAGAGGGGAATTCGCCCGGGAGTTATAAAGAACCGGGGCTCGACTGGATGATCGGCTTTCTCTTTGTTGTTAGCTTTGTGGGGTTATTGGCTTTGGTTCCTCTCCGAAAGGTATGTTTATTTTTCAAGAGTATGGCCATGGGCAACAATCTGTGCTTTTCTTTTTGTTCTTTGTTATATAATATAATTACTTCCCATCAATGGTGCATTTGGGCAGATTATGATTATTGATTACAAATTACCGTATCCGAGTGGAACTGCAACTGCTCTTCTTATCAATGGATTTCATACCAGTAAAGGAGACAGGACAGCCAAGTAGACAACTTTTTTTTTTTTTTTTGCCTTTTTAGATTTCATCAAAATCATTTAATTTTCTAGTGGGATGAAATGAAGCTTAATATTTTCAGGAAGCAGGTCAATGGGTTTATCAAGTTCTTCTCACTCAGTTTCATATGGAGTTTCTTTCAGTGGTTTTATTCCGGCGGTGAACAGTGTGGATTTATCAATTTCCCCACATTCGGCTTAAAAGCTTGGACCCAAACGTTCGTTCACCACACCTTTTGACGTTCTTTTGCGAACAAAAGCTACCTTATATTTTTACCCTTTTATTCTTGAAAGGAAAAATAATCATCTTACAAAGAATTACCACTAATATGAGAAATATTGAACTATGCAGATTTTACTTTGATTTCAGTATGACGTACATAGGAGCAGGGATGATTTGCTCACATCTCGTTAACTTATCATTGCTTTTTGGAGCTGTTCTTTCGTGGGGTTTAATGTGGCCATTAATAAGTGAGCGAAAGGGAGACTGGTTTGCCCAGAATATCAAAGAAAGCAGTATGAAGAGTTTAAATGGTTACAAGGTATATACGACTCTTTTTCTTTTCTTT